TCAAAGCTTTTGTAGAAAGGGCAGATTACTTTGCATCTTCATCCTGAAGTCCAACAGTGTTTGTATGCTCACAGTTTACAGAAGCTTGTCTTGTGTTCTTATCATAGTTTATTTCAACAAAATAGCTTTTTAAGAAAGCTATTTTAAGAAGAAAAAATAGTCACTGGAGAGGGATAAAAGGTTGATAAATATGGCAACAAATATGTTAAAGTAGTCATAATGACTATGGGCCGGATCTATCAAAGGTTTGCGTGTATAAAAACGTGAGCTATTTCACTGCGCACGCTAAAAAATGTACAAACTGATCTATCAACAGCTTGCTAAAAGGATTTGGTCTTTAAAACGTGCTAAATAGCGCCTCTTATCCATTTAGTACTTTTTCTGCAATGAATATGCAATATGGGGCGTTTACACGCAAAAGTGCGTCTTGTGGGAGGAGAACATGTAAATATATTAATTTAGCACTCGCAAAGTGATTTATCAAACCTGAAAGCAATTTTGCTAACGGTATCTGACTCTAGATTTAACACGTTTCAAAAGAAGGTGCAAATGGTCTGTATTCGTAATTGCGCACACATGGCAGCGGTTATTGTCGCAAGAAGGAGACATCGAAATGAAGCAAGGAGACGCAGAGAATGCTTCTTTTCACTCCGTGTGAATATTTTTGCAATGAAGGAGGAAACGATCATCAAAACATATCGTTTATCCAGCATTGCCATTTTGAAGCTTTTGGGGGAACTCCGAATGGATTTGGAGCCAGCCACAAGGAGGACCCACGCAATACCAGATATCACAAAACTCCTTGCAACATTGCACTTTTTTGCATCTGGGTCATTCCAGCGTACGGTCGCAGCGAGAGCTGGGATCTCCCAATCTAGTTTTTTCAGAAGTGCTGTCCGACGGGGTCGGGGTTCTCCCCCTGCGCCTGTGGAGCAACGTGCCAATGCTGCGGGGATGCGTACTGTACGCGTAGTAATCTCATCCACAGTCACTTCTTGTGAGCCATTTGGTACGTGCATTTTTCTACAGGCCAGTACAAAACACCTGTTTTTTTTTTTTTACTGCAGTGAAGTAGAAATTCAGCCACATACCACCTTAGGGAATATATATATATATATATATATATATATATATATATATATATATATATATATATATATTTTTTTTTTTTTTTTGTTGGGGGTCACTGTAAGATTTAAATTTCTTAATGCACTAGTTTGTACAAACTACTTTGCCGCAAACCACAAAACGCGCAAAACCATCATTTAAATAGGGCGTCTCCAACAGTTTTGCACCTGCCACCAGTTACGCAATCACTCTTCTTAAATCACCCGCAAACCATGGTCCAGCCCCTCGCGCAAAATTCTAGTTTGCAAGAACAAATTACTGCACGCAAAATTGGATCTTGATAAATCCGGCCCTATGTGTTTTTTGACTTATTACAGAAGTACAAAGAGGTTGCACCACAAAAAAAAGAGATAAATTAAAATAAAATCAATGGCACCACACTGGGGAAAAAAACTTTATTTTATATCACATATAATTCTACAATTTCCAAAATTGTACTATGTAGCACTGTTTGAGAATGGCTGATCTAAATTGTTCCATTGTAGCTTTGGCTTTATGATAGGGATCCTTGTCCTGTTAGTTAAACCTCAGCCATAGTCTTAAACATTTTTTTTTCTTTTTTTGTTGTTGTTGTTGTTTTTCACAAGTTAAGTCTGAAGAACTTTTCTGTCCTTGGTCAAGAAGAGCTTCCCCACAGCAAAATTCTGCAACCCTTTTGCTTCACAGCAAGGATGCCATGTTCTGGATATGATCATGGTGCTGGTTGTTCACTAATATTTTGTTACAAAACTCATAGAAAAGCACTTTTTATAGACACACAGATAACCTCTATGTACTAGTTATTTTAGATACAATTAAAGACAATTGTTTATTATTATTTGTTTCTAAAAAGGGGCCCAGAGGAACACACTTTATAAACATTAATTTTGTAAGAAAAAAAAATCCCAAAACAATAGAAGAAAAAAAAACCACATCAACTAAAACTAACAGATGTTTGTGGTGTAATTCTTTAGCAAACCACTGCACAGGGTTCCAACTGTGTGAATTGGAATCAGAAATACCAGCTGGGTCAGGATTCTGTTTTTAAAAAGAAAACTACTGAATGTTAGTAATATTCTTCAGATGAACTTATAGTATCCTATAGTACCTTATTAACTGCAGAATATGGTGGTACCGCTGTCACTCAGTAACAATCACCACAAGAGGGGCAATTATCACAGCATTAAAGAGTGATAAACACAATGGCATGGCCATTTTCAGAACATCTGAGCTGTCTGCGTCTCATCAATCAAAAAGCACACCTCAGGGTAGCAGCATGAAGGTAGTGATACATTACAATGGACAGAAACAGGTGCTGCAATAGATTCTAATTACTTTGTTCTATCAATTATGTACAAATCCTTGCATGGGCCCAGAGTCTGCCACACACTGCTGGGCCTCCTACGCTCTCTGCACCAGCTCAGCTTTAAGCTGCATGCCAGGCAGGCAGGCTTTTCAATTGTGCAGATGCCTTCAGGTAACTAAAAAGGTTTATTTTTCCAAGGCTAGTTCTAAATAGAGGGGCAACTGTGCTTGAAAATAAAAGGGGGAAAAGGCAATACTTTGCATATCCTGCTGACATTTGTTGCATTATTTCTACTCAAGTAAAAGGAGCGGATTGTTTCTTCTTCCACTCAACCCTGCGAGCATCGGTTTAAACACACAGGTGCACTGCTGTTTTGTGTTTTTAAGCCGTAACGGTCTTCAAGGCACTTGAGGTTTCTGCCTTTGTTTTGCACACTCTTCAAGTTTTCTCTCAGCCACTCAGAGCTCAAAAACATTATGCTAATGAGTGTGTAGACAGCTGCTTCCAGCATGGTTTTTCTCTGGGTTTTCTAAGGGCTGCGATTGTCACTCATACAGAAGAAATTCTTTCTTTCAGCAAGTCACATCTTTAAAGCAGAGACACACATACTGAAATACGTTCTATACCGAACCTGCTTGTTTCTCTTCTCATTTACTTTCCCAGCATGACGCAAAAGTATATGGCATGATAATAAAGTAAGGTTAGGTGTATTAATGGATCATTCAATTGACCTGCCATTCTGCTGTAGATGTGAGTGTCAAATAAATCCAGAGAAATGAATCGTCTCAGATCTAATGAATATTATTCATTAGTGCAATGTGTCTAGGTGGCTAACACTGAGAGAAAAATAGGACCGGAATTACAGAAATAAAAAGCCTTAAGATAGAATAAAAGAGCTTTAATTATGAAAATGAAGGTTGTAAGTCATGCACACTAATGTGACATTGCTGTCAGAAAGACTCTTTGATGGAGTAGGGCTCAAGGAAAAGTCTGTTTTCACATTTCAAGTAGCTCTTTAAAATACAATAGGAAATGCTTCTTCAAAAGACTGCACCATGTTTAACACAAAAAATCTATAATTAGCTGTAAATGTTACTTAATGGCCTTTAATAAAGTGCTATTTTAATGTTGACAAAGAAGTGATGTCTCAGAGTTTGCTGTAATATGGTCCGACTATTGGATTGGATTAGATTCTTTATTTCGAACATGCAAGAGAAAAACAAAAAAACAATAAAACAATGTTTAAAAACATTGGAGAGAAAAACAACAAAGAAGGTACCCTTCTTTCCTGAGTTAATATACCTCTATTAGATGTGCGAAAAGGAGTAGGAAGAAGTAAAACTTATGTGCTCATACCCCTTTAATTCTTGTATTTCTTCCATTTCCAGACTTCTAATAATTACATATTTTCACTTCTGTAATTTCAACTTCTGCTGTCTTTCTTAGATGTTACATACTATTGCCTTGCAATACTGAGTAACAGTAGAGATTCAACAGTTTGTTTGTTGATATTAACATGATAGCATCTCAAACAGTGGTGAATCCAGTCCTCCGTTCACTATGTCCTAAATTTGCCCTTTGGATTAAGATCTGATGACTGATGATTACAGTGAACTCATTTTATGTTTAAGGAGCAAATCCATGTTCTGATAGAGGACACAAAGCATGCCAATACTATTTTCCCTCACCAATACACAATGCAGTCTACATTTCTAAAAGAAGTCAGGATGGATTTCTGGTTGTTTATACAAAAACATAACCTTATAATCTAAACATTGGAGCTGAAATCTAGACTCACTGTACCAACATTTCTACAGAGTGTTATATTCCAATTATAGTGATCCTGGGCAAACTGTAGCAAGTTTCCTGTTCTTAGCTTACAGGAATGGCCCACAGTGTGATCATTTGCTGCAGTGGCCTTTCTGCTTCAAAGTTTGATGTGTTGTGCAATCAGGGATGGTATTCCACATATTTTGTAACAAGTGCTCATTTGAGCCACTGTTTGCCGTGGGGTCTGCCCTGTCTCCCTTGATCTCATAAATAAGGACGCATTTTCAGCCATACAAATGTCAATTTCAAATTATTCTATGTATTTCTTAACTTCTCCAATGAGCCCGACTCAGATCAAAAACATTCCTACATGTAATGTTTTTAACATCCCTTTTTGTTTTGTTTTCTTTTTGTGATCATTTGGTTTGAACTAGAGCAAATATCTCATTAGTTGTCTATTTGCACAAATTGGTAATGTCATGTGATTGGCTGAATCTGTATTCTTTTTAACAACCAGCTGAATAGTTAACCTAATAAGCCGTTAAAAATAAGCTGCATCTGATGAAATATACTGTGAAATATACTTGAATAGATTAACCCTTCTATTAGCAAAGTTTTGTCAGTTTTGTGTTTTGCTTGCTCTTAATCAATGCATAATTAGTTAATAAATGTGTTTACATTTTTATATAAAGTACTGACTTAATGGAAGGAGGGAAAAAGATTTAAAAAAAGTTATTCCCAAAATATTTTGGAAGTTTTTCAGCAGTTTAAGAAATAAACTGTGCTCTTTTAACATAGCTGATATACAGTTAAAGTACTGAGAAATATATAACTGAAAGCAATCGCTAAGCACACCTGCCAGGGTGCAACAGTCACAGACTGTTAACCTCAAGATCTGGAAGTACTCGATAGTCAACGAAGCCTCACAATCTTCTACTTTCTGCCTTCATCAGAGATCAGCTACAAAAAGAGCTCTCAAGCTTTTTCTTTGTGGGAAACAGGATTTACATTAAAATCAACTTGATGACTTTTTCTCCCTGCTGCTTGTAAGGTAAGCAAATTGAAATTTAAAGAAGTATTAGGATAAGTAAAGAACTCGATTCTTCTACTTTCATTCTCATTTTACCTTTCAAGCTAGAAATGAGCATTCACTTATTGTAATCTTATTCATTGCCTCTTACTGATCTCCTGAAAAAGTTTCACGCTTGGCTGTAAAGCTCTAACTGAAAGCAATAAAGTTTAAATGCAAGCCTTTGTTTGTGTGGGAAGATAAAAAGGGCAAACTCATAAAATAGAATAGTTTATCTACATAGCTGTCTAAAATAAATAACAAAACAGACCCTGCTTTAAAAAACTAACAGGATATATTCCAATACTAGACACTTTGCTTTGTTTAAAAGCTGTTTTTATTTTATTTGTTATATCTGTTGTAAAGCATTTAGATATTACAGCTCTTTGGCTATTTTTACCTAAACAAAATGTCTTATTTACCAGTGTTTAAAAGAACAGATGCTTAAAATAAGTCTGCATAACCATGTGGTATTCATGTCATTGTTGATATTAGATTTACATTGGTTTGGTTTTACAGCATCAAAACAGGAAGTAGGAATTTAAAATCCCTCAGTGAAAACAAACAACATCTGACTGACTAACACAGCATGTTTTTGTGTCCAATTGCTGTTTTGATGCAGGCACCTGGCAGATCATGACCCTGCAACCATTAACTCCAGTGAACTGTGCAGGCCTCCTGCAGCCTGGTTGCTCCCTGCTACAGCTGGATGGGGAAATCCTTTTGTTTGGTCAGAAAGGTTGGCCAAAGCGCTCCTGTCCGACAGGAGTCTTCGGTATCCGGTTAAGACATGGTGAGATGAAGCTTAGGGCCATATCATTCTCCAATGACTCCTGCTACCTCCCTCCTCTTCGCTGCCCAGCCGTCTGCCGCCTGGACCCCTATGATGGGCTCCCAGAGAGTTATCTGTTCCATGGCGGCCGCACCCCAAACAATGAGATCTCATCAAGCTTGTACCTGTTGACCATGGATAGTAGAGGCTGTAATCGCAAACTAACACTCAGGTGCAGAGAGAAAGAACTGGTAGGAGAGGTGCCAGGGGCCCGTTATGGCCATGCAATGACTATCATTCAAAGCCGCGGGAAGACAGCTTGTGTGATGTTTGGGGGAAGGTCCTACATGCCAGCAGGAGAACGAACCACAGAAAGGTGGAATAGTGTCATTGACTGTCCTCCCCAGGTTTTCCTTTTTGATCTTGAATTTGGCTGTTCCTCTGCCCATGTTTTACCTGAGCTTAGTGATGGACAGTCCTTTCATGTAGCTCTTGCCAGAGAAGACTGTGTTTACTTCATTGGAGGCCACTCTATCACCTCTGACTCACGTCCCCCTCGACTCTTCCGCCTTCGCGTTGAGCTCCTGCAGGGTAGCCCCCTGCTTTCCTGCGAGGTCCTAGAGTCTGGCTTATCCATTTCTAGTGCCATTGTCACACGCACAGGTCCCTCTCATAGATATATTGTGCTAGGCGGATACCAGTCTGACTCCCAGAAAAGAATGGAGTGCAGCACAATCATTCTGGATGAGAAAGGTATCCACATTGAGCACCTAGATCCTCCCCAGTGGACCCAAGATATCATCCATAGTCGCACATGGTTTGGCGGTAGTGCTGGAGATGGATGCATACTGCTGGGTGTCCCTACTGAAGGAAGGCCATCTCAACCTGATGTGCATTATTTCTATCACATCAGCTTCCAACAAGCAAAAGAGTCCAGTGAAGAAGAAGGGACCCAGGCATGCAGCCAGGAGTCAACAGACTACGATAACTCGACTCCTCTTGAAGACTCTGAAGAGCTTTATTTTGGACGAGAGCCACACGAGCTGGAAAACAGCAGTGATGATGAGGGCGACATTTACAATGAGGAGGACGAGGAGGATGAATCCCAAACTGGGTACTGGATCAAATGCTGCCTGAGTTGTCAGGTGGACCCCAATACATGGGAGCCATATTACTCCACAGAGCTTCACCGCCCGGCTATGATTTTTTGCTCCAAAGGAGAGGGGGGGCATTGGGTCCATGCTCAGTGCATGGAGCTGTCTGAGACACTGTTAGTTAAACTATCTCAAGGAGGCAAAAAGTACTTTTGTTTGGATCATGGAGGTCTGCCTTTCCAGGAGATGACCCCTCCTCGACAGGTCATTTCACTGAAGCGCACCCCGATGAAAATGAAGAACAGAAATGGAGCCCTAATGTTCAAAATTTCCCCCAGCAAGAAAAGCTTTTTCAAGAAACTCTTTGATTAAATTAACTCTTCTTTAAAATTATGATGAAAATCTACAGTCTGTATTTAAAGTGGTGCAAAATAATAATACAAACTGCCCAGTTTGCATGACTCTATGGGAAAATTTCAAGTCCTGCTGTTTTTTACTTAATAAAGTTTAATAAAAAAAGGTCCCACAAGTCTTACTCTCTCGTGTCTTTGATGTTCTTAATAAATTCTCCTATGAAATCCAGGCTGCAGTTACTCAATAAAAAAGTAATACAAATAAATGTTTTTTAAATGAATTGATCATTTTGACTCTTAAATCAAATAACAACTTGTGTTTCTGGCTGATCTTGAGAAGTCCATTATTGATTCTCAAAGTCTGGCCAAATGACTAGTATAATGCTTTGAATAACTATTCACCAACTTGGCATATTAAATTTTTATCTCAGTCAAACCTATAATTTATTCTCTTTTTTTTTACATTTTATTTTATGGATCAGCACAAGTCAGTCAAAGTCAGTGAGGTGAAAAGAGAAGTATAAATAAAGAAGAAAAATAAAAAGCAAAAAATTACCTTCAAAAGTCTTACAGTCAGCTAAATAATGTTCACTTGTGTTCAGTCAAAGTGTCTAATAATCTCCCAGTAAACACACACATTTTCTGTAAGGCCCGAATACTCCATTTCCATCATGTTCAATTAAAAGATGCAGGTACCATAACAAACATACCAGAAGAGCATTTTCCACCAGAGGCCTTGTGAAAAATCTCAGATCAGGAATTAAGGAGTGATTTTCCAGACATTCTGGTTAAATTAAGCCTCAACTCATTTTCAAAAAAACATTAACACATAGATTACCATGGTGATGTATTCTGTGCAGTTAGCCTCCTCCAAATGAGGCAAACAACCGGGCTTACTTAATCCTGGGGCCTTAACTGTTCAGTCAGCATTAGATTTCAGGGCAGAGACTCCAAGTGACAAGATCTAGCAATCTCACAGAGATGTATCCACAGCAGCTGTAATTACCAAAAAACAAAGAGGTGAATTTTTTTTAGTTATACGTGCTTAAGTTTTCAGTGTTTTCTTTTTCGTATTTTTTTATGTTCTTCATAGAAAAAAATCTACATTTTCAAAATTGTTTTCTTAATGAAATTTGCAAACTCTCAAACAATCCATTTTCTTTAATGTAATTCAGAATCCCTAAAAATTTAAAGGACAGACCTTATCAAAACATACATCTGTCCAAAAAAAGGAAACCATAAACAAGCAGAAAATGATGTACGGAAGCATCCACATTGACTTTTACTCCAGGGAAAAATGTATAAAGGCCTTAAAACAAAATCTGTTATACGGCAATAGCCTAATTCTGAAAAGAATTGCTTCATGTTTAAAAAAGTTTGTTGATTTTTATTTTCCCCTCTTCTCTAACTACCTCTCGACTTTGAGTGGATGCATAATAAATAAGGTTGTTCTGTCATGGTGGAGCTTGTTTTGCACCATTATTACTTTGTCAATAGATATGGGGAGTGGTTGCCTAGTGGGTTGGAGCAAAGCTACAGTATGTCCTCTGAGAAGGTTGCAAGTACTCGGTTCAATTCCCCCAGCACTCTGGGTCTCTGAGCAAGACCCTTAACTAACACTGCTCCCTGGGCACCGCACAATGGGCCGGATTTATCAAAGGTTTGCGTGTATTAAAACGTGAGCTATTTCACTGCGCACGCTAAAAAATGTACAAACTGATCTATCAACAGCGTGCTAAAAGCATTTGATCTTTAAAACGTGCTAAATAGCGCCTGTGATCCATTTAGTACTTTTTCTGCAATGAATATGCAATATGGGGCGTTTACACGCTAAAGTGCGTCTTGTGGGAGGAGAACATGTAAATATATTAATTTAGCACTCGCAAAGTGATTTATCAAACTTGAACGCAATTTTGCTAACGGTATCTGACTCTATATTTAACACGTTTCAAAAGAAGGTGCAAATGGTCTGTATGCGTAATTGCGCACACATGGCAGCGGTTATTGTCGCAAGAAGGAGACATGGAAATGAAGCAAGGAGACGCAGAGAACGCATTTTTTCACTCCGTGTGAATATTTTTGGAATGAACGAGGAAACGATCATCAAAACATATAGTTTATCCAGCATTGCCATTTTGGAGCTGTTGGGGGAACTCCGAATGGATTTGGAGCCAGCCACAAGGAGGACCCACGCAATAACAGATATCACAAAACTCCTTGCAACATTGCACTTTTTTGCATCTGGGTCATTCCAGCGTACGGTTGCAGCGTGAGCTGGGATCTCCTAATCTCGTTTTTTCAGAAGTGCTGTCCGACGGGGTCGGGGTTCTCCCCCTGCGCCTGTGGAGCAACGTGCCAAATGCTGCGGGGATCTCATCCACAGTCACAGGCCAATACAAAACACCTGTTTTTTTTTTTTTTTTTTTTTTTTTACTGCAGCACATACCACCTTAGGGAATAAAGGTTGCCAATTTATAAATAAATAAATATATATATATATATATATATATATATATATATATATATATATATACTTATTTTTTTTTTTTTTGTTGGGGGTCACTGTAAGATTTAAATTTCTTAATGCACTAGTTTGTACAGACTACAAACTACTTTGCCGCAAACCACAAAACGCGCAAAACCATCATTTAAATAGGGCGTCTCCAACAGTTTTGCACCTTCCACCAGTTACGCAATCGCTCTTGTTAAATCACCCGCAAACCATGGTTCAGCCCCTCGCGCAAAATTCCACTTTGCGAGCGCAAATTACTGCACGCAAAATTGGATCTTGATAAATCCGGCCCAATGACTTAGACTTAGACAGACTTTATTGTCATTTTGTACACACAGAGGGCCGGATTTATCAAGATCCAATTTTGCGTGCAGTAATTTGCGCTCGCAAACTGGAATTTTGCGCGAGGGGCTGAACCATGGTTTGCGGGTGATTTAACAAGAGCGATTGCGTAACTGGTGGCAGGTGCAAACTGTTGGAGACGCCCTATTTAAATGATGGTTTTGCGCGTTTAGTGGTTTGCGGCATGGCGAGTTTGGACAGCAGAAAGCGCAAAAGGAAATTCGACCCCATGGAAATGGAGGTGTTGGTGGATGAAGCCAACAAACATTTAACTGAACTACAGCAAAGAAGTGTGACTGTCACACAGAGGAACGCTCTATGTGAACAAATCTGTAATAAAGTAAACGCTGTCGGTGAAACCTTGCGAACAGTGGATGAAGTAAAAGAAGATACCAGGATATTAGAAGGCGAACCAAAGAAAAACTGGCATATAACAAAACATCTGCGAACAAAACAGGAGGGGGCACAGTAGTAGAGCCTCTGACCAGCATTGAGGAACAAGTACAGCTGACGCTCTGTGAGAGCAAATCACTGGAATTGCAGCTCCAAAATGGCAATGCTGGATAAACGATATGTTTTGATGATAGTTTCCTCCTTCATTCCAAAAATATTCACACGGAGTGAAAAAATGTGTTCTCTGCGTCTCCTTGCTTCATTTCCATGTCTCCTTCTTGCGCCAATAACCGCTGCCATGTGTGCGCAATTACGCATACAGACCATTTGCACCTTCTTTTGAAACGTGGTAAATATAGAGTCAGATACCATTAGCAAAATTGCTTTCAGGTTTGATAAATCACTTTGCGAGCGCTAGATTAATATATTTACATGTTCTCCTCCCACAAGACGCACTTTTGCGTGTAAACGCCCCATATTGCATATTCATTGCAGAAAAAGTACTAAATGGATAAGAGGCGCTATTTACCACGTTTTAAAGACCAAATCCTTTTAGCACGCTGTTGATAGATCAGTTTGTACATTTTTTAGCGTGCGCAGTGAAATAGCTCACGTTTTTATACACGCAAACCTTTGATAGATCCGGCCCAGAGTGTATACAAACAGAAATTTTGTTCAGTACAGCTCTCACGACATTTTCATTTTTAAAGTGCAGCAGTGATAAAATGTAAGCAGCTGTGATAAAATGTAAACATAAGACTGGTATATGATTTACAGTTTCCAACATTCAGCTTTTTTTTCTTTTTTTTTTATTAAACCCCTTTTGGCAGATACACCACAATGGCAGCACACTGCTTCCCATGGGGATCGGTTAAATGCAGAGAGTGAATTTCTCCAGTGTGAGATCAATAAAGTTCAATTATAGATACGGACAAGATTAGTTTGTGTGCATTTTCTTGTAACTTGTTCTTAACTTATAATAATCATACGCTTATCTAGTATATTTCTCTTTATTATTTGAGAAATGTTGTTTGTATTTTTTAGAACATGCTTATTCGTAACAAACTGCCTAAAAACTGGAGCAAACCCATTAATTTCCAACAAAAAGCCCTTGTCTTACCTCTGTAGATATTTTACTTGCATTCTTTTTGTCATAACTTGCTTTAATAGCATTTTTTTTTTTTTTCGTATCTTTCACATTTTACTCTGCTTTCTGAAACTAATTTAGAAAAAATGGCTGGTTGTCCATCTGGTTCAAGCAAGACCAAGCATCAACTATGCTGTTTTTTTTCTGCACCAACCCTCAACATGTATTATTTAGGCATTTATTGTATAGATTGTACAATACTTCTCAGATTAGCAACCTCAAACCTGCCAGATCTCCACACTTTGCTATTTTATTGAGGTTTCCATGAACAATTAAATTAATTATATTATATACAATTATATTTCTCCAGCTTTAGATTTTTTAATTCAGAGTATACAAATGTACTTAAAGATTTAATGACTCTAAAGGCTTCATAGAAAGGTCTCACCTCTCATACTGTATAGCAGACTTACTGGTGGTACTGAAAGGTTCTAAAAGTAGCAAATCTTTTTGTCAGTGAGTTAAACACCATGTTTACTTTAAAAACTGTGGTCAAAAGTTTCCTTCTTGTTTTCATGCAGCTGATACACCAGAAAGATACTGGGGCAGATTTCCCTGCCCATGGCATACTCTCTTTCTCCTTTTTTCATACGGGATACAGTAGCCTCAAGTATTATGTCTACAAATTGTCTCTTTCCTGTACAGAACAAGTAGCCGAGTTACCAATTAACATAATAGATTTAATTTAACTGAGAGATGGGGCAATGACACTCAATCTTATCTGTCTATATAACTAGATTATATTGGTATGAATATTTCTGTATAATTGTAAATGAACTTAACCTGTTTTTTCTTCCCTAGATCATTTTTGAAAAAAAAATATATATTGGAATTTAATGTAATTTTTTTACTACTCCTGAAGCTCAACAAGGCCTATGATTAAAATCAAATAGTAATCTGTACAATCCAAAATTGGAAAGGATTATCATCTTTTGAATTAAGTTTATTATAAAATGTGTTTCTCTTTTGGTATTCTGCCTTTTTACAAGTTTGTTCATGTCGTCTACTTTTATTTGTACACATTTTTATTTAGGTTAATTGCAGTATGCAAAATTAATGTTTTAACCTAACCTTTTTGCAGGAATCATAAGTTAATTGCATAAATCCCACAGTTCTGTATAAAAAATTACAAATTTTCTAATTGGTCAGATTTGATATTCTAATCTTAAAAGTTTTTACAAGCAGCACATAGAAAAATATATCAAAATATCTCACAAATCAATCAATTAGGCATCTCCAGTTTTAACTTCTAAGCTTAAAAAGCTAAAACTCTCATACAATGGACACAATAACTAAATGATTTTACAATACATTCTCATACCACTGCAGAATAAACACAATTAGCATAATTCCAGTTGTTATGTGCTCTAAAATGAAAGAAGTGGGTTTGTGTAATAAATATAAAATCAAATGAAAAGTAAAATTAATGAAAGTCAGATCTAGTATTTATTTATTTATTTGTTTGTTTTAAACACAAAAATGAACAGCATCAAAATCGATCATGCATTAAAACAACTTTTCACTGAGACATTGCTTTGTGAGAAACAGGAGAATCGTAACAAACAGCAGTGCTGTAGTGTATGTGTTGTGTGAAGCTCATAAGTGAAAAACTTGCACATAGTTTACCTGAGTGTATGTTTAGTGTATCACCGAAAGCATAAATGAGGAAAACACAGCAAAAGAGAAAAAAAAAGGGACATTTTCTGAATCATCCATCATCTATTACTCTGGAAATGCAATTCATTATTGCAAAAACAAATATATTGCAAGTTTCAAAGTAATCCTCTCTAAAAAATGGTGTTATTGCAGGGCTTTGACAACTTTCCAATGAAATGTGAATATTTCATTGCATTTGTATTGTTAAACATACAGAAGTAAAACAAAATCAAACATTCAATCAAGAAAGAAAAATAAAATTGCCTGTCACAATTCAAAATGGCTAGGGCAGGAGAAGACAATATAATCAATCAATCAAACAAATAAAGTTGCCAACAAATGAGGCTTTCTGGTTTTGCCCATCCCTCTTCTCTGTCAAAAAGCAGTGAAGAAATGCTGAGGGAGAAAAGGAACCAGGTCATAAACAAAAGTGAAGAAAAGTCCCTGCTAGTTGCAGAGTCCATGGGGTATTAGGATCTCTAATGGAGCACACTTTATTCCAATGATGTCCACAAAAAGGTCAGTATATGCTTCATTTTATGAGAAGAATTCGAATAACTATCATCTATCCTCCGCTGTGCAAAGCCTAAAAGAGATAAAAAATTGCTTCAAAGTGACCTGGCATCTACTCTGGCCCCTGGGGACCCAACGATAAAGCACTAAAGTCATCTTTTTCAGAGGGCACTCATGAAACAAAGAACATTTGGGTCTCTGTGATTGCATTTTCCTCTCACTAAAATGATATATTAAAACACTGGCCACAAATGTGGTCTTTCTTAACACAATTTCACTCCATGACTTACAGCTCTTTCATCTGCTTCCATAAATATCCCTTCTGTATAAATTCATAAATGTGTCACATCCATGCAATACAATAAAATGTATCATATTTCAAAGAAATATTCCTTTTTCAAGTTGTGAGGAAAAAAGAAAAGAAAAGAAACTTGTGTCTTACATTTACAGAGTTATCCAAAATTAGTTACACTTCATCTACTGTTTCAATATGGGTAAAAGGAAATAGTAATCAAAAACTGTGTCTGCATAAGATTTAATTTTGCTTTTTTTCAAGTGCAAAATATAGATTACTTAAGAAAAGACTGCCAACAATTGACACACAAAGACACAGAATTGAAAAATCCAAACTAAAAACAAAATGAGTGTCAAGAAATGTCAGAGGCTTTCATAAAGTATACCGAAATGAACCAATTTCTGTGTTACTTTAAATATCAATAAGTATTGGAAATAAGAACACAGACACTGATGTAAATGTCAGGTTATTGACCAGCCTAAAATCAGTCTAGGAGTTTGTCCTAAAATAAATCAAAACTCAGTGATTTCCAGAGTCACATCCTCATCATCATGGATCTCCTCTGGATCTATTGTTGCCTGGAAAGCTTTAGCAGAGTCCTTGTGAGCCTCCATGAACTTTTGCAAGTACTTGGAGGTGTAGAGCCAATGGTGTTTCAGCACGTCTTCCAGCTCAAAGGCCTTTGACTGCCGTGCATTCATCTTCCTGAAACGCCTAAACAGTTTATTTGCTGACTCATTCCCCTCGCTGGCCCAGGCTCCTATGGATCCATCTCTTTCTATTATTTCAGGCACATGTGCAAGGGTCTTGTGCAGATAGTTGGTTATTTTTCCATTGTATCTGTACTTGAAGGTAGAGGAGAGCAGGTCAGCAAAACGTTGTGAGTTAAAACTGTAGCGGCACAGCTGGTCAGGGCACTCCTTGGCTGGACAGGTAGCACGCCATACAGGTTTCATCTGGAGGTAGAGCCTCATGAGCTCCCTCAGGGCCTCTCTCCTTTCCTCTGAGGGCACCAGTTCACAAACCACTTCTGCAGCCTCCATGGTCATTAACCTTCGGGCATAGTTCCCATTCATCCTCATCACTGGTTTAAGCTTCATCTTCTTTCTCAGCTGTTTGTCCAAGGCTGCCCTCCAGCTGCGCCTTTCCTCTCTGCTGGGGTTGGGCCTTTTATAAACTTCTCCAATTTCATCCTGGAAAATTTTGTAGAACTCAGTGGCATTACCTATGTCGCAGTGCAATGCATCCAGTGTGGGCTGGGTCTCCAGGAAGGGCTTGGCTGAGACTCCTTTGACTCTGTCTCTTAACTCATCAACAGATTCAGAAAAGGGGTTGGTTCTCCATATTTCATAACGTTCCAGGTTCTCATCATGGCTGCGGGTGATGGAGTGTAACACCATATTCTGAGCGGCCTCCGCACGACCAGAGTCACACAGAGTGCAGATGTATGTGGATCCGGAGGCCTCCAGGCCCTCCATCTCACGCACCATCTTTTCATCGTAGCCTGTGCCCCTAAAGTAGAAGCGAAAGGAGCGTAGCATGCCACCAATGGATAAGATGAGCCTGCTCTCTTTCATCGCATTTCGCTCTGCAACAATAGGCCCCAGAACAGCAGTCAAAGTCTCATGGTCTGACTCATCCACAAACATTAGACAAAGGGGCTTGCAGGAAAGCTCTGAATTTGGCTTTGGCTCCGTAAAAATTGTGACTTCTTCCTGATCATCTTCACCCTGAATAGAGACTGACATAATAGTGAAAGAGAAGCGGACAGCCTTCTCTGGAATAGCTGGTCCTCCACCATGCTTCTCGCTAACATCCCCCATGCCATCACAACACTCCTTGATCATGACTCTGAAGCCCAGGGTGCAAGCACTGTCTTCCATACCAGTGTCTCTCAGCCCTTCCATGATGTCCTCCTCAAGATCCTTCAGCGCTGAAACCAGTGCAACATCATAGCGGAAACGACGAGTGATGGTGTCAGCAGGGGAGTCATCCAGTGAGGAGGTCCATCCTGACAGTCCGTTGATGATGCCGACATTGTAAGACGTGGACACATTTTTGAGAGCTGGCTGCCATTCAAACTGATGAAAGCCAGGGAGGAGCTCCTTTTCTGCAGCTCTAAGGGTGTGCAAGGGCTGAAAGATCTGACGGCCACTTGTAGCTTTGACCGTCCGATACATCTTATGATACTGGCTGCAGCTCAGGAATGTGTTGACCCGAATGGCTAAGCACACTGCAGGACTCAATCCAAAGCCTCTGCCTGCAGAGAGAGACAATGCAGGAAGAGAAGAAGTTTGTGTGAGACAAAAGTAGGAGAACAAAAAATAAAACAGAATAAGAGGATTATAGAAGAACAAGCCTAACATCTTATGATTTTAAAAACAAAAAGCAGAGTCTACTATTTGTTCAGTTATTTTCCTACAATTTGGAGTAATTTCCACGGTGAGGCGGAAAGAAATGCACATTTTCCACCTAATTTTGAAAATGTTATCATCAAAAGCCCACAAAGACATTATTACATGATCCAATACTTCCTATTTTCCAGATGTTAGAAAAGGACAGAGTAAAAAAGTGATGTATTGGCTGAAGATGAAAACAGACACCAGCTGCCTTCAATTCCCCAGAGAGGAGGATGGTGCTGTCTGTGTAATTTGCAGATACAAGCGCTGCTGATGTTGTTTTGATTCTAACAACCCCTTCACAAGACTTGTTACTGTGCACTGAAGGGAGTGTGAGGATGATGGACTGACAGACAAGATGAGTGGAAGCAGAGGGGGAATTAGGGATGGCTGTGTTTGTAACAGAGGTGAACAATAATGCAATGATTTTCTGATAAAATGCAGAAAACAATTTCCCTCCCTTCAGTACTGAACTTTTAAACTCATTGTTATTTATGATAAGCATTATTCCTCTGAGAGAAAAGGGATTATTAATGAGAAACCACTATAATAGTTAACAGCTGTTTTTTTGTCTCTCTTTTTCAATATCCTCCTTTGCTGCAGCAATTGAATAAAAAGCTTAAAATACCCTCTTACCTTGCATCATGGCCTCAAGCTCATCTGCCTGCCGGTGCTCGTTCCCAGATCTCAGTGCAAGAAGAAACAGTGTCAAACACACTGACTTCAGATCGCCTCCTTCTTCTTTGTCTGCAAACACTTTAACCTGGCTCTTCAGATCCCTCAGTCGGTGCTTCTGGGCACGACGGGTTAAAGAGAGCAAATGCTGGCGAGGTCTCCCCCCCTTGTTAATTAGCAGGTAATTTTGAAACTGAGATGAGTGTCTGTTTTCACCTTTCTCAAACTCATGGTTTAGACAGTGGGCCTTGAACACACCTAGCTGCACTTGCTCACCACAACCTTCACAGGGGCACAGTAGAGGCAGAGAATAGAGGGTTGATAAGAAGGTTTTGGCAGGAGGGATGAGCTCATCTGGGGCACAAGAGAAGTTGCATGCAGGGCAGTGGGGTCCCAGAACGTGAGTAAATTTAATAATGCAGCTGCGGCAGAAGAGGTGCCCACAGGGGGCCTGAACTGGATCACAGAGCAGGTGATCACAGACCAGGCAGGTGAAAGAAATTATAAAATCCCCTGGGAGCTTCTCTGCAATAAGTTTGGTGTTCAGATGGTCATTCTGGCAGTGCGTGATGTTTTTCACCCACTGTTCTCTCTGGATGCTGCTTTTTTTCCATGTCTTCAGTCCAGAACTGTGCCGGTCTCCAAAGGGCTTCTGGGCCTTTTTTTCACCAACAGTACTGTTGTCACTGTGGTCCCACCTGGCTCTTTTGGCCAAACTCTGGACTTTTGGAACAACTTTCCTCCTCTTTCTCCCAGTCCTTTGAAATGATGACTTTTTTGGGAAGCACAGGTAGCAGTGGGAGGTATGGGGTTTCCACTCTGGAACTTTTGTTCTAGTGAAGCTGCAGACACCCCCTCCACGAATGGCAGCCAGCCAGCAGCGATGGCAGAAGAACAGAGGTTGGATGGATTCTACGTCATCTGTCACATCCACTTTAAAGACCTTCAGGAGGACCTCTGGCCAGCTTGTAAACTTGCAGCCCATTTTGCGGAGCACACATTTGCTTGCTTCATCCAGATCTCCATGGACTTCATGCACCGGCCCTTTGACCTTCCTTACTGCCATTCCACAAATGCGACAAAGACCCCTATATAAAAAAAACAACAACAACAAAAAAAGTGTCATTATCTCTTGAATAATTAAATAGAAAAAAAAAAAATATATATATATATATATATATATATATATATATATATATATATACATATAAAGTGTTTTTATTTATTTATTTTTTAACATAGTTCATCACCTGAGATGGTTCATGTGCGTTTCCATTTCCTGCAGTTTCATATCTACTCTCCTGCCAGGGCCCTCCACATTGTCCTTGCTTTTTCCCCCAAGGCATAATTTCATAACACTTGCCAGTCCTGCACCATGATCTGTCTCTATATTTGGCGCAGTAGGAGGTGGGATCCCTAATGAAGCTCCTATCTGCGGCTGTGCCTCACTCGGCAGAGGTGCCTTCTCCATAGACTTCACCCTAAACAACTTAAACTTCCACTGAGAATACTTAGAGTGAGGATGCTGAAGCTCAGCAGGCATGAAGGATCTGGGACCATCTGTCTCCGAGCTCTCTGCTGCCATGATGAGAATTAGATCTTGGACCCTGGAGGGAAGAGAAGCAAAGAGAGAAAAGGAGAGATTCATATGATGCACTGTAAAAGTATCAAAATAATTCCAGCTGTCCATGAAATAATAGCTACAGAGAAAATGCTGGATAGTTCAAATCCCCCATTAGGAATCAAACTTATGTCTTTAGAGCTGAGCCATAGACACAACCTGAGAGCCTTTCTTGATTTCCACTGAATTTACACACCACCAGAAATCCCATTTAACAGCCAGAGCCTCGACCTCGACTGCTGTATTATATCATAAGCAGCATTTGGATCTTGTATAAAATGCATGAGTCAAGCATCGGAGGATCAATACAACACCAAAATGTTCATTTCTCTAGTCCTCAAACCCATCAAACCACCAGCCGCTGAGTCTTCTTTTTTTGCCTTTGACACAGCAGGTTTTCTAAATGGACAGCCTTATTTCTGTAAAGCTGTCAGTCATCTCCGATTGTCATTTTCTTGGCTGCAGGGAGAAATGGAGCTCTGGGAGACTTTAACTGACATTTTAAATGCAGCTGAAAAAAAATATCTGGGAAAACCTATTTCATAATCCATAGATATTGACCAAATAGAAGCAGAAAAGAAAACAAGAAATCATCACGTGGAATGGAAATCAAAAAAGACATATTCCAAATACAGCTTTACACTGCTTAGAAATTGTATTTCAGTCCCATCAAGTAGTTTTATGACACAACACAGGTAAGATCTATGATATTACTGTTCTAATAGACCTTCTTTTGCCTCCCTCCATAAAATCTATGTTCTATTACCAGTTCTCACAATAAGGCGGTCAAACAATCTTTGAAACTACCCCGGTCTTACCATTCCAAGCCGACAGCAGACACACTGTAGGATCCTCTGTCTATCCATCTTTCAGTGTTTTCTGTGTGTTTTCTCCCTTAGAGGCTTAAATCTGTCAGACTACTCCATTTTCTAGATCTATGTCTGCTTCATGGGCTAAACCCTCATCTGAGACAAACAGCTGAGCCTGTATGCATGTCTGTCAGCTGGGTTCTTACCTTGTTTTTCAGTCTCAGCTGGCACTGGCTCCCCTGGGGACTCTTTCTGCATGGGAGCACAAGGAAAGCCCTGGAGCCAGGCTCCCTTTCACAGTGTGCACGATGCCTTTGTGTTGGAGAGTATGTTGCAGTTTGGAGTTGTGGTTTCATACACTGGGATTGCTCCTTACTGTGCCTTATATACCCTTACTGTGATGGAATCCCAACAGTCAACTCTTGCCACCTGATACAGGCAGCTGACAAAAACAACAAGGTTGACCCCAAAGTGCAGTTGCAACTGCTGCATGTAGAATCCAACGGTATACCCCAAACAAACAGCTCTTTACCACAACACACTGATCCTGTGCTCCACAAATCCATCTGCAGGCTCACCTCATCCAGGTGGCTTTACTGCAACAGCGAGACTGTTGAACAAACAGGAGGCCAAACATTTAGAGAAAAAAAAGACAGATCATGCTCGAACTGATCTGCTAGGAAAGTGTGTTTTTAAAGAAAGAATACTTTTTGTATATAGTGTATTTTGTGTCACATTACAACCACAATGTAATACACATATTGAAACATACCACATCAAGGTTTGTGGTTGCAACGCGGCATAATGTGATCAATTTAAAAGATTTGAAAAGCTAAAAAGGCATAGTGAATCTTACTGTTCACCTGACAATTGCTAATTTTATAAATTTTTGTTTGGACCAAAAATACAGAAAAAAGGTCCTATATTCAAGAAACCATATACATATGTAGATTTCTTCCTCTTATCTGTTCAGCATTCATAGTTGCACATTTTGATTGTCTCATTTCATAGTATAACTGACTCCTTGGTTGTAATGAGTTCAAATTATACACCATCATTTGATGTGGCATACCAGCAGGTATACAGAGTATTTGCCCAAGATCATTCTTGTGTCTAATTATCCAGGGGATTAATCTGGTGTAATCGCCACAGGAGCCTGTTACTGTTGCTTTGGATTTGCCATCCAAGTCATTAGATACACAGTCAGTGGCCACCAAACAACAGTTTGGGTCTTTCCCATCCTTTTCAAGCTAAACAGCAGAGCAGGATGAATACTGGCATGCATTGCAGCTTACATTTGGTGCATATGGTTGAATGTGACCTTCGACAGCTTAAGCAGTTTGTGTTTCTCTATTTCTTAATTTGTTTGCTGATAAGAGGATCTATACCAGGTAAAAGTTTACAGTCCACCTTTTTCAAGCAATATACAAATGCATCACCTAGAGGAGAATTTAAGGTGTGCATAGCTTGATTCATTATCCAAGAACAAACAAATGATGGATTGTAGCAAGATACTGCAGTCCTATTTATAGATGATAGTTAGATTTATGATAGCCAAGTAGCCACATGATTTTAAGGTAAACGACACACCTAGCTCGGTGGCAGACAGAGACAGAGTTCCAAATGTCTGCCTGACAAACAAGCAGTGACCCCAGAGACCCTTATCTCTCTGCGCCTGCTAATTGACTTGTTATTGATCAACTCAAAGGCAGTCTGATTTATGAGGAAGACGACTAGTGGAGACAGCCACCTGGCATGGAGTAGAGTGTTATGAATGTGGGAAGGGAACCCCAGGGGGACCACAAGCTGTAGTTTAGCAGAACATAGACAAGTCTGAAATGCGTCTCTGCCGACTCGGTTTGAGGGAAAGCTTTGAGTTTTTCTCTTATATGATAATATGATAAAATAGACCAAAGAAAAGAGAGCAATGGGGGATGGGGGTTGGTGGGTGGTCAGAGCCAGCAGATGCAGGTGGTCGTGTGAAGAGTGAAATCGTAACTGCAAAAGTGACAATGCAGTAAGTTTCTCTTAAAGATTTGTAGATAAAAATGTTACATGTGTTTTATTGGTATGTATTCTGACCGATTAAATAAGTCACCCCTAAATGAATTATTAAAATAACTGTGAAATACAATGCACCAAAGTGTATTTTAATCTCAGTAAAGAATCAAGTGCTTGATGAAGACCTCAGAGTTTTGTTGTGGAACTTTAGTGATCAAACAGCATTATGAAGAACACCAAAAAAAGCAAGAGATCATGGATAAAGTTGTGGCAAAGTATAGAGCAGGGTTAGTTAAAAGATTAAAAGTTTCGGAAATCTTACTGAGCACTGTTTAATCCATCATTCAAAAATACAGAGTGTAACAAAATTGCAAACATATGTAGAAATGTAAGGTGGTTGAGGGATGCAAAACCACGGAATCCAAGATAATGACATAACTATCTTGTCATCACTGTTAAAGCATTACTTGTTTTATTGAGATAGCAAGATAACTATTTCATTATCACCAGAAAACAGTTATTGATTTCTTGAGATAACAAGATGATTAACCTGTATGAGTAATGAATGAGGCTGGCCAACAGCTCTGTATTCCCAGTCCATCCATGCCTGCGGCGCCCGTAGTTGCGCAGTCATGGTACCATGTGCAAATAATCACTTTATTAGTTTCCTTTTTCTTTTCACTCATTGTCAGGTCTTGGTGGATGATTGTATTGCATGGAATACAGAAGAACCAAATCTGACTGTTTTTTTTATTAAAATCTTTAATCTGGACTCATTTTGGGGGTTAATGCATCTTGTATGTTACAGGCGTTACACCGGAGCTCTTTCGAAAACACCCAGTGCTAAGGTATCAAAGGCATAGGTCTAATTGCTTTTGAATCAGAATTGGAAGCAAATTATCAAACCAACGTTGTCTTATCACCTAAAAGTTCACCTAAAACACAGGATTATTTACAGAATTACCCATAGGCTGCCATGAGTTATACTAACACATCCTCTCCCACTGTTGTGGTATTGAAAGATGTAATCAGTTTTAACACACACCAATCATCTCGTTATAATGAGAAAGGGCCTTTGGTAGTTTTTAGATAATGACAAAATTATCATCTCGTTATCACGAGAAACAGCTTTCGTTACCTGAAAACTCTGAAAAGTATCGGAGGGACACGGCAGCTCTCGGCTTCCATACAAAACACTGTGTAAATAAATACTTTCACGGAAAATTCAGGGTCCAGCAAACTCAAGTATTAGACTAGGAAACTCAGACATGATACTAACACAGAAGGAAAGAGCACACAAAACACATGCAAAGGACAAATGCTGCAAGTAGCAAAGAGAACTGCGAGTTATGAAAAACTGCAAACTACTATAGCATCCAGAAGAGCTCCTGACCACTAGGGGGAGATGGCATTACTGCAAATTAGAAAGAAGAAAAAAGGTTAGGTTTCCTGTGAGACTTTTTTAAGCACCCAATCTCTCTTAGCATCTTGTTTATTTCTTAACTAAGGGTCTGTTCCCAAAGGAGTGTTGGGCAAGCAACTTAAAAAAATGAACTACTTACTTAATATGGAATATTATGTGTTTGGTATTAATTAATAAATGAAATCATTAGTTAAAAGGTCTACACGTCTGAAAACATTGAAAACAATCTGCACCATTTTTATGTGTGTGGTTTGACAAATAATTTGATATATGATCATGTAGAAGTGCTAATGTTTCCTGTTTATAATAAACGAAAATAAGATGTTATTTTTTGCACATTGACAGCCTTCAATTGGCTATAAAATAGATACGAAGCTAAAAAATAAATATTTTATTTGACACAGTTAAATAAAAATGAAAATATTTACATTACAATAGAATTAAACAGGGATTAGACTATTCCAGAACAAATAAAATCCCTAGCAGGACTGTAAGAGCTCAGTTTTTTCACATGAGAAAACGTAAACCATGCAAGTAACATCATTACAGCACTTAGAAAGTAAAGAATGTGCAATGATTAAAGGCAGAACTGTCGTGTAGGTGCTAAGATGGTGTGCAGAGCGTCTTTAATTTACTGCTTATAACCAAGTTTTTATTCCCAAATATAATCACAGAAATATTTAGCTTTCAGTGAGCGCTCTAATATACGAACGCTGTCATTGAATCATTGCCTTTACCTCAACATCTCTCCTCTGTGTTCATGCTGAAGTTGCGTATAGCTGCTGCATGCTCCATGTGAGCTTGCATGTGCATGTTGCTGACACTGCATTTACACCAGGAAGCTTCAGTCCTTATCTATACGGTTCATTAACAAATAACAAATCTATTAAAAGCTTTGTAAGGACCAGGGGCGCCTTCAGAAATGTTTCATAGGGGTGGCCAGATGGCGTTACTAAAAATCTTGGGGTGGCACACTGAAACTAAAAGCCATAATTTCAGGGTTTAAATCTACTGTACTATTGAGGTAAACCTGCCTTTAGAAATCATAAAGACTTAAGTAAACACCTACTCATAACTTTGTTTATTGTGTGATTTTTATTGTTACGTCGCTGGCTGTGCATAATAGGATGAAATGCTGAACTGATGCTACTACAATTTACACCGGCGAGTGGGGTGGCCCTGGTGGCGCTACTGGTAAGGACTAACACGTTACTGTCTTTTACAAAATAATTAGTTACAGTGCTAGTTACTGGAAAAGTAATGCAGTTACTTTAACCCATTACGTAGTAATGCGTTAGTCCCAACACTGCATATGAGATGATGATGAGCCCCCCTCTCTGGTCTGAAGCACTTTAATAATGTGTTGATGTTTGCAGCATTCACTAACTTGCACTTCTTTTTACCTATTGTAGAATTTTTCCTTTGTATGTATTTTGCTTTTTTGTGAGTTCTTAAATAAATTATATGCACCATAACCACACTGGTTCCAACATTAAAACTCGGTTGTGCCAGCATGATGCTTTTGTGAAGGCTCATTATAAGGGACAGAACATTTTTTTGTCAAAAGATGTAGGCAGATAACTGCAGAGAAAGAAAGAAAACCCACAAGGTTCACAGCTTATACTGTATGTAAGATGCAGATGCAGACATAACCCAAAAGACTCAGATGCACTAAATACATAATGCAAGCAGTTTAAAAAAAATTTAACATCTGTTTTATCTTTTTTCTTTCATTTGTAACTATGCACAATTGTGCTATTGTTAACTGCATAGTTTCTTAAAAGAGAAGCTCAATTAAGATTTTGGGTGTTACATTAAAAAAGATGAAACTCTTCAGATTATTCATACTTTTGCCAGAGACTGAGGTAGAACAGGTAGAGAGAAGTTGGATAAAGCGAATTCAGTGCCTGTTTTTCTCAGCCTGTGCCAGTGTTCAGGTTAT